TTTAAATTTGATGCGAAAGAAGTTTGTAGATTCTTACATGTAAATTGAGAACACAAATCTGACAATGTGTCAAAGCTTATTATATTCAGTGTTTGTATAGATGTTGGCTGATACCTATAGAAACAGAGGAAAAATTTGTCATCATGTGTCAAAGTCGACAGGTGCTTGACAATTATTTTTACTTTTCGGCACTCAGTGCGGATAAGGCCCGTATCCGCACTGAGTGCGGAAAAGTGTAACTTTGAGAACGATAATGCGTGCGGAAAAGTACTACTTTGCGCACGCTCGTAGGAAAAATAAATATTTTCACATCAAGGGTAGATCCTGCGTGTGTCAATGTTTGTGTGCCTCTTGTCGGCCATATTTTGCTTGTCAAAGTCACGTGTTTTGGATAGTCTAATAGGCTTTTTTGGAAACGCTGAACAACCTACATCAGCTGCTGCTCCAACGGTTCGGGGTTTTCGAAAACGCCTAATTATGACATCACGAATTGACTAGTGGCGCCATCTTCGAAAAAAAGCCTTAACTATATTTGCCAAATTATCTGTAATTTTATTCCAAAATCGGATTTAGACTACAAAAAAAACGGCACATCAGAATTTGCTGAAATTTGGCATAAACATTCTTTGATTGATTATCTACAGAATAGTGCTCTTATTTTTTCAATTTTTACCGTGGTTATTTCTATTTTTGGGAAATAGTTCATTTTCACAATATAGGCCCAAAAAAAATTCGAAATATGGAAAATCTAACTGCACTATTCTGCCAAATTTCAGCAAATTCTGATGTGCGGTTTTTTTTGTAGTCTAAATCCGATTTCTGTATTTTGTATCGTGTGCATGGGAGCGATGTTGGCGCCTTAATAAAGTTGATATGCTTTGTCAATGGAAAGTTTTTTCTGGACAATAACGTACTTTCAGATTTGATTATTTTGATTTGATTACTTCCTATTACATCTACATACATAATACTTATAAATCTTCAAGTCAGACTTACAAAAAATGGAGGGAGAACTAATTTAGGGTTGACAAGTGGGGTTTGAGAACTAGGGGGGTTTATATTGACAGGACACAGACTTTTTATTATTGGATCCCTTCATTTGGTCAAATAATGATTTAGAGAGACAATGAAGAAATTATCAGTATATGCGTACATTATTGATCCAAATTTGAAATTTTGGTGCCCACTGACCTCAATATTTGGTTAAGTACAACTTTTATTCAAAGATTTTTTCATGTAAAGTGATTGTTTTGAAAGAACTGTCGTCTAAACGTAAGTTCATTGCAGTTGATAAAGTGTTTTCATTCGGGCTTAATGGCCGTCGTAAGTTGCAATTTCTTCCTGATGTTTCGCTAGCACGCCTGGCTAGCATCTTCAGAGGTGCTTCAATGTCCGATTCTGCTAGCAAACTGACGCGTTCCCGACCGTGAGCTTTATTTATGTGTGAAGAGCTGCGGTGGGTGAGGCGCGGGGCTGCGCATCACGTGGCTAATCTGAACGTTCTCTGTACTCAATGGGATCTTTCTTGCGTTTTTGAGGATCATATTCCAGATTTCGTTAACTTTTAGTGTTTCATCTTTCCTGTTGAAATTCTTCGTATATGTTTGTGGATCTCTGTAGCTCCACGTACAAGACGATTGTGGTATCCGGAAGTCGGTGTAAGAAGCTTGACCTCACCAAAGAGTATTTCGTGATTCCCTTGACTAAGCGCATGAGCCGCTACTGCTGATTTGCCCGATTGTCCTAGTCTGCAGTTTCTTTTGTGCTCGTTGATCCTGGTTCCCATGGATCTTTATGTTGTTCCTATGTATACCTTACCACATGTGCATGGTATACGATAGACTCCAGCGCTTGACAGTGAGTTCCTCTTATCCTTGGCTGATCTGATAGATTGCTGTATTTTCCTTGTTGGCTTGAAATTTGTTTTTATATTGTGTTTCTTCAAGACTTCACCTATCTTGTCTGTCACTCGAGAAATAAAAAGCAGATATGCATTAGCCACCACTGGTTGTTCATCCAAGTTTTGTCGTGTGGCAGTTTTGGGTTGCATGGTTCTGTCGATTTCAGATGCATTGTATCAATTTGATAGAAAGGCCGACTTGAGGTGATCCAGTTCTTGTTCGAGATGTTGTGGCTCGCAGATGTTCCGAGCACGTTCTGTTAACGTTGTTATAGTTCCACATTTTTGCCTTGGATGGTGATTATAGAGTGCATGCACCTGTCTGTGTGTGTAGGTTTTCGGTAAACTGCGTAGCTTAGTTTTCCTCCAGATTTCTTTATGAGCACATCTAAGAAGGTGATTTGATAGTTTTTCTCCTTTTCCATGGTAGATTGTATGCTAGGATGTTGTGCGTTGAGGTGGTCTAGGAACTGGTTAAACTTCTCTTCCACATGACTCCAAATCACACTGGTATCATCTACGTATCGAAGCCATACCGTTGGTTTGTGGTTAAAAGATTCGATAGCTTTCCTCTCGAAATCCTCCATAAAATATTGGCTATGATCTATCCATAGCTACACCGTCCGTTTGCTCATAGAAACCGCCGTTTCATAGGAAGTAACTACCAGTGAGACGTGTCCGGAAATGCTCAACTATGTCATTGGAGAAGGTACTTGATATCAAGTCAAGAAGTCAAGAGATTCTGTCAATGGTACTTTTGTGAATAGAGATACGACATCAAAGTTGACCAGGATATCCTTAGGTTGGAGAATAATATCCCTAATTTTCTGGACAAAGTGAATGGAATCATTGACGTAGGAGCTAGTTTTTCCTACATGCGATTGAAGAAGCGATGCAACATGTTTCGCTAGACTATGGGTCTTAGCAGGACTTCAGGTTTCTGAATTTTGGGTAGGCCGTAGAGTCGTGGTGGAACCGCTTCTGTTATTATGATGCCTTTCTTAACCGTGTCTATTAGGGTAGATGACCTAATCAGTTTGTTGGTTTTCCGAAGTATGGCTTGGGTGGGATCCTTCTTAAGCTTTCGGTAGGTAGAGGGATCAAGGAGTTCCTGAATGTTCCGGTTGTAGTTTTCAATTCTTAACAGGACAGTTGCGTTACCTTTATCCGCAGGTAGGATGATAATTTCTTCCGCTTTATTCAGGTTCTTAATTGCCATTAGTTCCTTCTTAGAGAGGTTACTGGTTGCTGGTAGAGCCTATCATAGAATGGTGGCCATCTCAATACGGATTTCTTCTGCTTCCACATCAGGTAGTTGTCTGATGGCTGCTTCAATGCTGGCTATAATGTTCTCCGTTAGCAGATGTTGTGGAGTGATTGCGAAATTACCGCCTTCTGCCAAGACGGCTGTTTCCTCTTCGGTAAGGTCTCGATCCGTGAGATTGATGACCAGTCGCGTCAGTCTGTTACCAGAATCGAACATGGAAGCACCTCTGAAAATGCTAGCCAAACCAATATACCAGTAGCAAAACTCTAAATGGCAGACCATTTCATCCAATACAATTTGCTTACCAAGCAGGCAAATCCACAACAAGTGCACTCCCTTGTCTAGTAATAGACATAGAAGAGGCACTGAAGGCAAAAAAAATCGCTCTTGCAGCTTTTATTGATATATAGGTTGCCTTTGATAACACCTCACACCGATCAATCAAAAAAGCTCTTGAGAATAGAAGTTCCCATTATAGGATGGAGAGAAACCATGCTGAAACATCGCTAAGTATCGGCGGACTTGAACGGCGAAACAGTTACTGCCATCAAGATTGAAGGCTGCCTACAAGGTCGTGTCCTTTCACCTCTCTTGTGGATACTAGTGGTAGACAGCATCCTTACCAGACTAAGCAACGTGGGAATAACTGTTCTACGCTACGCAGATGATCTGGCGGTAATAATCCGGGGCAAGCATATGAAGTATAATAACAGGCCGAATGCAAAATGCTTCAAATATAATCATAAACTGGAATTAGGAAGAAGGACTTTCCATAGATCCCATCAAAACAATCTTAGTTCCATTTAAGAAATGAATGAAGCTGAATTTGCTCTAAACGGAACTCAATTATTTCTCTCGAATGAAGTTATAAGGATTTAGGGGTTATTCTGGACCAAAAACTTTCTTGGGACAATCATCTGAAGAAAGCAATATCACGAGCATGGGAAAACATGGGAGATAAGACCAAAAATGGTACATTGGATTTATCTAACTGTTGTCAGGCCCATTGTCATTCTCGCCTCGTGGGTATGTCGGCTAAAGACTGACCAAATTACTGCACAGAACAGTTTACGTAAAGTACAAACGCTAATCTGTCTAGGAATAACAGACAAAAATATTTACAACTGGTGATCTGAATGGTTACTTACCATTCTTCAATCTATAAAGCTCGAGTGTCAAAGTGAACCAATAGATCATATGATAACATCACTGGACTTGAAACTCCATATGGAGTGGTTGTAAAAGAACGCCAATCATCGATGAACGAAAAGCTACCGATCGCAAGCAGACCATCACAGGGGGTAGGAGTCGGTCTGGGAATAACTTGATTAAACTTTAACATCTCTTCAAGGCCCAGAACTTTTTTGTGGACTGATGAAAAGCCACGTCTCCGAAGCAATGAACAGATGGGAAAAAGATCGAATGCTAGCTCTCCGGGTTTGAAACAGGCAAAAACGTTCATATTTATCTCAGCAAAGAGATCTGAACAATTTCTTGACAGGAACAGAAGAGGCATTAGAACAGCCGGTGGTCCATTCACTGGGTAGGTATTGCCCAGTGAAATATCACCGTTAAATAATATACAAATCAGACAACGACCACTGTAGATCTTGCGAACAAGCAACAGAAACTACAGTACATTTAATCTGTGAATGACCTGCTCACTTCTGCAAAAGGCTGAGATACCTTGAAGGGTTACAAATCTTGGATACCAACTAGAAGCAGAGTCACGCACAAAATATCTAGAAAGGCGCTGGAATAAGTTGTAACGACTCCTAATGCAATCTACAATCTACAATCTAATTATGAGGAAAGAAATCATACGATCTTGAATAAGATTGTCAATGTCTTTTTATTCATCAAATCACATTTTTCCAATACATAACTCCTTATTCCCACCTTTCTGAAATATAAATCATAAAACTGATTATCTAATTTATTATTTTGTCTTGTGTCTTTTTTCGATTAAACATCACCATCTCAACACACCAAGCCATGACGCAAATAACGTATGCTGAGGTCAAAACGTGACATACCATATCGTCACTTTGAGTTAGTGATTTTACAAAACCTAAAACGAACAAATTATATTTATCATAATATACAAAACAGTTTTGTAACTCACTCATCAATGGTGCACAAATTAAACTGACAACACCGTTAACAGCCATAAATAACGAATAGGCTGTAGAAAATTTGTCTTGGTATTCTTCCGATATTACAAGTGGCAAAGGTGTCTGGATGAAACACCTCAAAAATCCTAAAGTTCCCAACGTTACTAGTTTCCACATGTAGGTATCGTTAGCAACGAGAGCTTGAAAAAACACCTTAATATCTAAGTATTCACATATTTTACTTTTACTCACCAATTCTAGCAGCAACAATCAATACCGAAGTACACAACACCAAATATCTACTTTTAAATTTGGCAAAACTCGATACCAGGGTCAGTAATATTCTGGATACCAAATCACATCCGAAAAATACCGACATTACTGTTGCTATTTGCGCCGCTGTAAATCCAATATTACCGAGCATCAGAGGAATGATTGATATAAACGCCATGTCGCTTGTGAAGCACAGGGCCAGCCCTATACTTATGTTAAGGTATTTGGGATCTTTGAGTAGAGACATGTCCATGGATTTTATGAAGGATTGCCTAATGAAATTCAAAAGTTTATTTTGCAAGAAGTATCTATTAGTCTACTTACCAAAATGACAAATTGTCTTCTTCAATTGCCGCCTTTTTCTTTCCTCCATCAAAATCTTCATCTTTAATTTCATTAATGGTGGTAACTGAGGCAAAACGATCGCCTAGTGAGACTATAGATTTTCTAGATCGTACATTATAGATTCCCGAATGTAAACTTCTTTGACTTGCTCCTAAATGATGGCGCATTAGAGGTTCTTCTTGTGGAGATTTCGTTTGTTCAGTTGATAGGGTTTCTTCGGGAACAACAGTCATTTCAACTGGAATTACTAAAATATGAGATTTAGTTTTAGCATTACCACCCAATTATTCAGGCTTCATTAGGATACTGTCTGACACAGGAGTGATTAAAGTAATAGTAAGAATAATAATTTAAAAAAAAGAAAATGGCTCAAGGTGTCTACGAGAGAAACGAACAGCTTTTAAAATGTGGCAGATTTTAAAGGAGAAATATGAAAAAAAGTTTTGCCAGGCCAGATATTTTTGAAAAGATAGTAATTATCAATGAAGCATAATGAAAAATAAATGGAAATATTTATCAGCGATTTTCGATGAGAAAAATGTGGCACATCCGTAAAATTATTAACCAACTGTTGAATATTTGCATTTGGAATTATTTGCCCTCACTTACCAGTACAGTTTATTGGCTCTTGCATAAAAACCTTCCTCAGATGACGTTCTACTGGTTGCAATGCAGCAACAGCTGGAAAACAGAGGGCGCTCAATGCCGCCAGTGCCATTAGAGTACCTCTACAAATACATATTTATTAAATTTTATTAAATTGAAAACAAACTATTATTACCTGAATCCTAAAAGATTCATGCTGAACGCTGCAACCTGTGGGAATGTCATGCTCAGCAATACCATGAAGGCTTGGCAAACGCTCATCATTACGGCCATTTTTTGGTTGAAGTATAAATTGAAAGCGGATAGGGAGGCAGGCATCAGCAAACCAAATCCGATACCTACAATATGTAATTTGTTGGTAAAGAAAAGATGGAACACAAAATACATTTTTTCTAAAAAAAAATAAAAATTAGTTAAGGTGGTTGAATGATATAAGATATCCATTTGTAGATGTCGCTGTGTGAGTAGCAACACCTTGTGACTCGGTCCTCAGGTTTTAATGTTTATTGTGAGATAAAAGCACGAATTGCTTTTTTTGTGATTTCAAAACGCATAGTGAAGTTCTTGCCTTATTGTGTAAATCAAAAATTGTGTTATACTTTGCTGAGTCTGAAAAATCCGTGAAAAAATCTGTAAAACATGCCGTTATCAAGGTCGGATATCGATGATTTTTGTAAAAAAATCGTTTCGGCTATTTCGAAGGAAATTGATGAGAAGCTTATGAAGAAAATCACACACCTAGAAGCGACCGTGGTTTCCTTGGAAGAAAATGTGTCATCCATGCAATTGGAGTTAAAAGATCTTCAACAGGAAAATACAAATCTACTACGGATAGTGGATGCGCAGGAGCAAACTTCACGCAAAAACAACATAAGGTTATATGGCATCCCTGCCGAAAATCCGGAAACAAACATAAAACAGTCAGTCCTGAATATTTTTAAAAATAAATTGCAGGTAAATATTCAGGAGTCCGAGCTTATCAGTTGTTTTCGTATAAAACAAAAAAATACAGCTAGTCAATCGTCTCAGTCTGCCAGCGATTCGGTTCCGGTGATGGTAGTATTTTCGGATTCTAACATTAGAACAAAAGTTTTGAAAAGTCGCAAAATGTTAAAAGGTTCAAAGATTGTTATTAGGGAAGATTTAACAGGCTTACGGGTGTTAAAGTAAACAATAATTATAAAAAAGAATGTTTTGATTTAAATAATTAAGCAAGGGTCAGATAGATGGCGCTGAGCGGATTTTTAGCTTTTAAGATCTTGTGTTTTTTGGTTTTAAGGATAAGGAATATGTCAGATGTCATGTTTTGTCAAGTCAAGTTTTTTAAGCGGGAATAATGCTCCCATATGTTCGGTTCTACCAATAATAACAATAAAAATTAGTTCTTCGAAATTAATGGATTTTATTTAAATAATATAAAATAAAGTAAAGTAAAAATCTATTCACATCAACAGGTTATGGGCCCAGATGTGCTCCGTCGTGCTCAAGCATTAAAATAAAAATAAAAAAATAAAAAAAACGGTGTTGTGAAAAAAAGCAAAGTTATTAAAGTAAAATAAAACAATCAGCAAAATGGTCAGTGAAATAAGCAGTGAAGAAATTGGGAACATTGAGAAATTGAGAGACACAGAAACTTTCGAAATGTGGAATTTTCAAGTAGTGATATTGTTTAAAGCAAATAGTCTGTATAAAATAGTGAATGGTGAGGAAAAATATGAAACTTTGACGAAGGAAGAAGACAAGAAAAGTTGGTTGAAAAAAGATGCAAAGGCCCAAAGAATAATTGTATCAACTGTAGATAAAAAGGTATTAACACATATTATGAAGTGCGAAACAGCAACAGAAATGTATACAAAGTTGTGCAATATATACAGGAAAGATAATGAGCAACAAAAATGCAATTTATTACAAGAGTTTTTCAATCATACATATGAAAGGAGCTCAGACATTTCTTTGCACATAAGCAAACTTGAGAATTTAGCTTACAGGCTCAATTCTTTGAACCAAAAAATTAGTGAAGACATGTTGATTTCGAAAATTTTAAGTACACTGCCTGAAAGTTATAAACATTTCCGTACAGCTTGGGAATCGACTCAACAAAGTGACAGAACCTTAACAAACTTAACTGCAAGATTAATTGCTGAAGAAGGTATGAATAAAAGTCAGGAGAGAAGGGGATCGTCAGTAGCATTTTCAAGTTATGAAAGAGTATGCTACAAATGCTCAAAACCAGGACATATCTCTCGTTTTTGTAAACAAGGTGATGTAAATCAAGAAAGAAGCAGAAGTAGTGAAATAAAGTGCCATAACTGTGGAAATCTGGGACATTTTGCTAAAAACTGTAAAAACAAACCGTTAAAAATGTCAGAAAATAAAACCATGTGTCAAATCTGTAAAAAGACTAATCACACAGCCATCAATTGCTTTTATAGAGACCGAACCGACCTAGAACGAACAAGAGGAAATCAAAATAAAAATAATAATGCTTCAGGCTCAGGTCCAGGAAATAGTGACAGAAAGGTGGCGTTTTTAACTGAAGACAAAGAAAATTATTTAAAAAACACTAACAATTATGTAATTGACTCTGGTTCAACATCGCATATGGTAAATGACATACATTTGTTTAAAGAATTTGAAGAAAAGAAGACAGAAATTTGTGTAGCCAAGAAAGGGACAGAACTAAAAAGCGAAGGAGTGCGAACGATTGAAAATGAAAATTTTATTTTAGAAAATGTACTATATGTGCCAGAGCTGAGCAAAAACTTAATTTCAGTAAGTGCAATAACAGAAAATCAAGGTGAAGTACTATTTAATGAGAATAAAGCTATAGTAATGAAAAATAAAAAAACAGTATTTGAAGGTTATAAAAATGAAAAAGGACTATACATTGCTTGTATAAATGAACAAGAAACTACTGCCTGTTCAAAAACAGAACAAGAAGGCTTGCTAGTTGAAAATAAAGAAGAAAAAGTAATAAACTGGCATAAAAAACTGGGACACATTAATACAAGAAGCATGCAAAAAATGATTGAAAAAGACATGGTCACTGGATTAGACATTAATAAAAAAGATTGTGAGTGTTTTGAGATTCCATGCGAAATATGTTTGCGAGCAAAGCAAGTAAGATTTCCTTTCGATAATAATAGAACCAAAGCAACCAGGCAATTAGAAATTATTCACACTGACTTATGTGGTCCAATCGATCCAACTACTTGGGATGACAAAAACTATATTTTGACAATATTAGATGACTACACACACTATGTAGTTATTTATTTGCTCAGATGTAAAAATGAAGTGACAGAATATGTTAAAGAATATGTCGAAGAAATGGAAGCATCTCAAAATTTAAAAGTAGCAAAACTGAGGAGTGACAATGGTGGCGAGTACGTTAATAAAGAATTAATAAACTGGTGTAAGAAAAAAGGCATAAAAATGGACACAACAATACCTTACACACCTCAACTGAATGGCAAAGCTGAATGGCTAAATCGTACATTGATGGAAAAATCCAGGTCCTTGATATTCGACTCACAACTAGATAAAAAATTTTGGGGCGAAGCCGTCAGAGTCTCAGCTTATATTTTGAATCGAAGCCCAACAGAATCTCTTCAAAAAACTCCATATGAAATGTGGACAAATAAAAAGCCGGACTTATCAAGAATGCAGATTTTTGGTATCGATGCATATGCAAAAATATTGGGATACTTGAAGAAGTTAGATGAGCGAAGTGAACGTTTTGTTTTTGTTGGATATGGACTAAACGGATATATAGACTATGGGATGAAAGAAGACAGGAAATAATAGTAAGAAGAGACGTTGTATTTAAAAAGAAACCAAATAATAATAATCAGACAAAAACCCATAAAATAAAATTTGAAGATGAAGATACTAAGAAAAATGAAAACCAAGAACAGAATGAAGAAGAAAACCAACATGAAAATGACAATGAAGAAATTTTGGAGGAAAACGACCAAGAATATAGTGATGAAGATACCAGCGAGTACGAAAGCGAAGAAGGCAAATTTTTGGGACAAGGCACTGAAGACAAACGAGGAAGAAAAATAACTTTACCAAAAAAATATGAAGACTATGTTTTACTAACATACAATGAGGCAATAACTTGTGAAGAAAATAAAAAATGGCAACAGGCAATTAATGAAGAAAAAGAGTCTTTAGAGAACAACAACACATGGGAATATGTAGATATAGAAAAAGCCAATGGAAAGAAGATATTAAGCAACAAGTGGGTGTTCAGAATGAAGGAAGATGGAAAATTTAAAGCAAGATTAGTTGTACGAGGATGCCAACAAGTAAAAGGCCTAGATTATGAAGAAGTATTCAGCCCAGTAGTGAATGTCAGCTCGTTGCGTTCCTTGTTGTCCTTATCAGTACAGAAAAACTACAACATAAAAAAGTTTGATATAAAAACTGCGTTCCTTTATGGGACATTGAATGATGAAGTGTTTATGGAAATTCCTGAAGGCTATAGAAAGCAAAACACTAAAATTTGTATTTTGAAGAAGGCATTATATGGACTAAAACAAGCTCCGATGAGATGGAATGAACATTTTACCAATTTTCTAAGAGAAAGTGGACTAAACCCATTAAGTGGTGAACAATGTATATTTAAAAACAAAACTGGTACAATGTTTTTGGCTATTTATGTAGATGATGGACTTATAGTGGGCGAAAATCAAGAAGAAACAGATAAATTGATAAATAAATTGGAAGCAAACTTTGAGATGAAGAAATTTGATAATGTAAAAACTTTTCTGGGAATAAATATTACAAGAGGTGAAAACTGGATGAAACTCGATCAAGAAAACTATATAAATACAATTCTAGAAAGATTCAACATGAAAAATGCAAAAACATCAATGATCCCAATGGTAAATATCATCGAAAATACGACCAGCGACATAGACCAAACAATTAATTTTCCCTATCGAGAGGCAGTTGGCAGTCTTTTGTATTTGTCAAATAAAACTCGACCAGACATAGCATTTTCAGTGGGTTATGCAAGCAGAAGCATGGAAAATCCGACCAAAGCAGATATTAATAATGTCAAGAGAATTATGCGTTACCTAAATGCTACAAAAAGTGATGGGATTGTCTACCGAAGAAATGAAAATCAAACTAAAATGACAGCTTACAGTGATGCTGATTTTGCAGGGGATAATAGAACAAGGAAAAGTACAACTGGATATGTAATCTACTACTGTGATGGACCGATTAGCTGGTGCTCAAGGAAACAACCTGTGGTAGCTTTATCAAGTACCGAAGCCGAATTTATTTCAGCGGCAGAATGCGTGAAGGAAATACTGTTTTTACGAGC